TCAGATTCGTTCGAGTGACAATCCTACCACATATTCTCACGTGTTTCACTCACTTTAGTGGAATTTACTCCGATGTAGTTAGGTATGTATAAAAATGAAGGGCAGGGCCTCCAAGAACCCTGTTTGGAGATGAAAACTGGACGTATTTGAACAGCGACCGGATAACATCATGCCGACAACTGGTTTCGGGTAAATATATGATCATGCCAATGTTTGTTAAGTCTTTTAATATTGCAACAGCGGGGTTTACGTCAGCGGTTTCAACAGGCGACCCGATTGTCCGAATACGTTTAACTGGAAGTAGTTTACATGTATTATTGTTAGGGGATGTTCCTCACGAAGGACATACCCACGCTACCTGTTTTAAGAAAATCATGTTATTTTATTAATCGTCTATTCTACAAATAAAAAGCGACCGCCACTTCTGTCTGCGCGCTGGCCTTAGGGCGGGGTCATGTGCTAGGAGGATATCGTTGCGTTTCAGTGTGGACACGTGCTGAGGTGTTCGGCTGGTACGAGTATTTTTGACATCCATTTGCAAGTAATTCTTTTTATCACTGAGTTTCTAGTTGTTACGTTGAAGTTGCTCTTATCTACCTCGGGCGTTTGCATAAAACCCGTAACTGAGCCTGGACCATTTTGCCTTCATGCTACTACCAAGTTCGCTTCATAATCGTCAATAAAACTGGAGTGGACAAATGTATTCTAGTGGTCTTTCTGGGTGGGGGGGGGGAAGTAGGCTACAGCTTATTTCTTGAATACCTCTCATGTAAACTTATCCAACCGAACCTTTGACATTACACCAAACTAAATTCGAAATCCAAACGAAAAAAAGCAAACCTTCTTAATGTATGAAACTTCGTGATGTCCGATAACAAGCGTGTTATTCGTACAAGTTTGCTCCGTTCTAATGGATGTAATCTTCTACGCATGCCCTTTCATTCTCCTTTCAAATGCCTTGCTCCGGGTGTCATCTACATCCTGGAATCTATGAGATGCTGTGATTGCTCTCATTTTACTCGCCTCATAGTAATCCTGGTTCCTGGCAAATCATTTAAAAGTTAATCTGCCGTATGATGCGGTCCGCCTCTACGTTTGATACGCCTGTGGTATTGAAGATGTTTCCCAAAAAGCACTAATTCATATTGTCCACTAACATTTTGCTTAAACATGAAGGACATTGTTTCCTACAAATTCGTCTTACAGGCCAACACCAAGCGGCAAAAATATGAAAGGATTAGCGAAAAAAAGATATCTACACCCGTTGAAGTCCTTTGTCGAGGTTATCCGGCTGAGTTTGCAATGTACCTTAACTACTGTCGCGGTCTTCGGTTTGAAGAACCACCGGACTATATGTACTTGCGTCAACTCTTCCGTATCCTCTTCCGAACTCTGGGCCATCAGTTCGACTTCCTATTTGATTGGACGATGCTGAAACAACGGTCCTCCGCAAACTCCTCGGCCACTTCTGCAGCTCCTGCCTCCAAATTTGTTCGCCCTAACACCGAGAGTCGCGACCACGAGAAGGGGCATACAGCGCCATCTGGCGAACAGGGTAATGCTTCCGGACCTACTGGAAACACTCCTGTGGCCCCTGGTAATCACGCTTTCCCGTCTACAGTCGACTGGATTGCTCACCAGAAAGGTCTTTAGTCAAGATGTCTAGGCGAGGACTCCGAAAGCTGTTAGGACTAATATTCCAGATGGAACACACATTTAGTTCCACTGAAATGTTTGTTTTCCAGGACGCTTACATCTCCCACGGAATACTTGGAAAACCACGAATTAGGCATCGACACCACGCACTACATTGCTCTATCAAATGACTCATTTCAGCTCGACTTCTGCATCAGCACTGAATTATGTACCATCTCCAAGTTTTTCGGCCCACATGAAGTTTCAGTTTTTACCCAACCTGTTTTTGCCTGACGACTTATCGGGCTTATTGATTTTGCGCACCACTGTGTT